AACTAACACACCATTGTAAAGCAATTATACTCCAATAAAGATGTAAAAAAAAAAAAAAAAGCCAAGCCACAAACTAAGAAAAAAAATAGTATTCAGAATATATAAGGAACGCCTACAAATCTATTAGAAAAAGATTTTTTTTTTTTAACCAAAAGCAAGTAGGTAAAAGACACAAGTACATATTTCACAAAGGAGAAAAAACACACAGCCAATAAACATATGGGGGAGAAAAAAAGAACAACCTCATTAGTAATCAGGAAAACAAATTAAGATTCCAATGATATATCCTTTTATATCCACCTGATTCCACCCCCACCCCCCAAAATAGTTGATAATACCAAGTGTTAGTAAGCTAGAACTCTTTAACCCCTACTGGAGGGAGCATACATTGATTGAACCACTTTGGAATACTAGCACTATTTGTAAAGTTGAATATTCACATAGCCTATGACCCAGCTGTTCCACTTGTAGGTATGCCAAGATATACAAAAGAATATAGTTTATATTCTCTCACCCCCCAAAAAGTTTGGAAACAACCCAAATATCTGTTGAAGGAAAATGAAATGAATTTTCATTTTGAATACATAATACATAGTCACATGATGGAACATTACACAGCAGTGCAAACAAGAGAACTACAGATACATATAACAACATGGATAAATTTTAGCAACATCATACTAAGTATAAAAAGCAACTTGTAGAAGATTACATTACAATACCATTTGTAAAAAAACTCCAAAACAAGCAAAATTAATCACTATGTTGTTTAGGGATTGTAAATATAAATTATTTTTTCATAAAGCAAAGGAATATCAATGAAAATTTAGTTTAGTGGTTATCCTTGGGTGTGGTAGAAGGCAGGGAAATGGGTTAGAAAAAGAGCACACACATTGATGTGATGGTACTGGCAGTATTCTAGGTGTTTTTTTTACATATCACAAATTATTTATGTTTTAAAAAAAGCCTTATTTATAAGGAAGATAAAGACTAGGGAATAACAAGAATACTACTAGGGCTTGCAATGAAAAGTAAGCTAAGAAGAAGATGAAGTAATTATTTTCAATTATACCACATTCTACAAAATAGCAAAAAACTCCCATTACATTTTGTATAATATGAGAAAAAGCTCTTTGATCCATGAATGGGCTAATCCAACAGCTATTCACATAATTCCTGTCCTTTCCAGGGAGAATAGCAATCAATGATCAAGAAGGAAAGTACAAGTCACAAAAAGCATGAAATCTTACTTTTTCATCATCTTCAGTAAATGGAGCACCTTCAGGAATCTTATTTATTGCTTGGGCCACACCGATAATCTCACCATCACTGCTTCGGATAGGCATGCACAGTAATGATTTTGTCTTGTATCCAGTTAGCTTGTCAATTTCATCATTGAATCTTCTATCCTAAAAATAAGACAGAGAGGGCACCATTAACTGCATTTGCATTGTTGTCAGGGAGAAGAAGAGAGAATGTTTCTGTGTGTGATACCTTATCACTGGGAACTTCACCCCCCAGAGTTTTAATGACAAGAACAGATCTGATTTCATGTTGAATTCACCAAAGGAACATAAATGAAAATAAATCACCACCATAGTTTTTAACCATGGTAAATGAAGAGAGAAACTTTAAACCCCACTACAACAATATATCAAAATTGGGGAAGGGGCAAGTGTTTTTAATAGAACTTCACACTGTGCTATTTATTAAAATATGTTATTTCGCACAGACAACTGGCTATGAAGTATCATATAAGAAATATATATTAAACATTATGAAAAAGTATGCAGAAAAAGCAATGTTTCCTCAGTCAAAATGATCCTGTGAAAAAAACAGAACGTATGGGCCCATACTGATACTTTTTAAACATTTTAAAAAATGTTTTTAATGTGGTGGGTAGGGAGGAGGTAAAAGGTTTCTTTACACAATGTCAGCTAAAAAATGTAGAAGGACTGATAAAATTATATAATATCTATTTTGCAACTACAGATACAATAATGGATACAAGCAAGGATCATCAACAGATGCCAATACCATTGGATGAAAAATTGTTAGTAAACAGGGTATTCACTTAAGTCTCAAAGTGCCTCATTAAATTCAAAGACAAAAAGATGTCTTTATCATTATCTAGTGGACATCATATTAAACAAGTAATCAAACTTAGCATCACCATTAATGAGACAAAACAGCACCATGTGCGCCTCCTGATGTGATGCAATAAGAAGGACACAGCGTCATCAAGAATGTGGAATGGGGCTTCCCTGGTGGCGCAGTGTTTGAGAGTCCACCTGCCGATGCAGGGGACATGGGTTCATGCCCCGGCCCGGGAAGATCCCACATGTCACAGAGCGGCTGGGCCCGTGACCGTGGCTGCTGAGCCTGCGCATCCGGAGCCTGTGCTCCAAAACGGGAGAGGCCACAACAGTGAGAGGCCCACGTACCACAAAAAAAAA